CGAGTCGAGCGCCCTAACCACCCGGCCATGCCGGGCCAGCTCAAATAGACCATTCGAAATTGTAATACGTAACAGTATCTTATACGCTTGACGGCTGACTACACATGTTTCTCCATCACATTAAAAGCAGTTCCATGTCACAGATGTTTCCTGTGCTTATTACGTGCTTTGCAAATAGCTTCGCAAGAATCAAACTGAGGTAAGTCTACTCTTGTGCTACTTCTCCCTGTAGTGGGTAACTGATGGAAACTTCACTAGACTAACATTTCATGTTAGATTTTGTATACAAGTTCTAGCTGGATACTTTTGGATCTTCTAAAGTGAACTGTAATAATATGTAGCCCGGTATTGGATTGAACTGTAACTTTAAAGCACACACAGTGAAAGCTTAGTTAAACCTTTTTGTCAATTTCATCTAATCTTCTTAGGGGAGGGCAATTGCCCCTTCTGTCCCACCCACAATTGACGTCCCTATACACTATTTCCAACGGAGTGATGGTACGCCAATTGTATGAGGTTTCATGACTGATTGACATTACAACATACTTTTCAGTATGACTAACACAAGCTTTATATCGCTATTGTTTCACGTGTTTTGCAGAAGGATCTTCCGCAGACACATTAACTCATTGAACTGAGGTTACGTCAAATTTACTCTTTACTAGTGTGCTTTGTAGAAAAAGCTCTGACAGCTCTTTAAATCGTTCACTTTAATAGTGATTCGATAACTATCGTGGTGCAATTGAACTAGAAGCTTCCATTTGTTTTCTATTTTTTGTTTGTTTGTTCGTTTTTGTCGGGCTGGAATACCCTGACTGAAGCTGCACCTTTTTTGAAGTTATATAAACATCAAATAACCATAAATGACTGTCTTAAATAACCATCCACCTATTTTAATTAGCTTTAAAACCTGGACATTGCTTTCCAACTGACACCCGCAAGTGTGAAATACTTGTGAGAATATGATAAAAATAACTAAGGTTTAATAGCTAAGCTTTTGTATACATATAACCCAACATGTATGAATTGGCACGTGTATATACATATACATTCCTAATTATCGTGTAAATTCTAAAAAGTTCTATAAAAGCACTATTAACTAGTTTCTTACGTAAACTTACAAATACATTCACAAAGACAAAACTTCCATATTATATTGTGATTAGCACAGACCCGCAATACACTTGCGGTCAATTTAGTATTAATTAAGCCTTTATTAAGTACAGCCTATATACGATAAAGACTGTAACCTGTGCATGTTTTTTGCTTTAATTTAGTTAAGGCTAAACTTTACCGTACTTATACTATCAATAAATAAACTTATAATGTCATTCTATGACCTAACGGTAGACTTTCTTAAAAACTTTAATAACCTTTTAATATATGATGTTGTACAAAATGTCTACTAAAATATATTTACATCTGCCTTTTGTTTACATCCATTGAAAAGTGCGTGCGCAATTTTAGAACCAACAAAACTGAGTATTATTGTAATAGATATTTTAAGCTTGCTAATTGCTAAGTTATCTATTTATAAAAACAAGAATTTTAACTCTTACTTCTACATATTGTTATGTAAATCATCATTCAAGACTAGAAATAATTAAATGTTGTGTAAAATCATCTTCGTATGCAGTAATAACGTTAGATCATTAACATTTTCAGGACTTAAATTACTAACAAATTTCAGACGACGTTTCGGGCTCCATGACAAGTCCAAGTTTAGAAAAAGTCGGCTAACAACAAGAAAAATTAATCAAAGATCATAAAAATAAAACTGCTACAAATTGTAGAAACCTAATGCTTAAATCCACCTGAAAAATATGTTCCTAATATAAAAGACTAATCAGAAAATTGTACTTAAAGTTCAGTGGAATAAGAAGTCTAATAACAAAGATGAAGACGACTGATAAGAAGGAAAACATTTCTATTTACAAAAAAGGTTCGAATGTTTCGGAACACGTTTATTCCATCTTTATTGCCAAGTGATTTCCGAAACGCCTGAACTTTTTGTAAATAAAAATTGTTTGGCCTTACCAACCACCTTTGTCATTGCACTTGTTTATTATATTAAAAAATAGCATTAACACAGTGATCCTTTTGCAGCCTTTATGTTCATTTCAGTTTCCAGGCACGTGACTCTTATCGTGCTTTAAGAGCTATTGATAAATCGGTACTGAGAAATCGGTAACAGTGTAGTGACGAAAGCAGTTGTAATGAGAACTTTGACGTCCAAATGGAGAAATGTGACTGTGATGTACGAATTGAAATATTGAAGGTGGAACGTGACTTACAAGGTTTATTACAACAGTTGCCAAGTATAAAAAAGAACGATGTTTTCTAGTCTTGTGTCACAGATATCCCGATATTAGGTAAATCTCACTTTGCGTGACGAAACACATTTTTTTACAAAGTCTTGGAAGCAAACATATTAGTCGAGGAAAATACTTTATATAGCAAATTGAAATTCCGGTTTCAATCATAAGTTAGTTTATTTTTTATTGTCTAACTTACATAACTTTGTAATTTTTTAGCCACTATAAAAATCACGATAATGACTGATTCGACAGTACTAACAAATTGGACTGATGGTGGTTCAGAAGAAAAACGTGAAACAGACTTCGTTTCAACTGGCTGGGCACACAGAAGCCCCATTGACCAGTGGAGAGAGCTCTTATCCCCCGAATATTTTAATATTGTCCCAGACCTTTGGCTTCAGTTTCCACCACCTTCAATAGAAGCTCATCAAGTATTAGGAGCAGTATATACCTTGATAATGGTCCCAGGAGTTTTAGGAAATGTCTTGCTAATCTGGATCGTTTGCTCGTAAGTAAACTGTTATCAGGTTAATTATTTGCTTGCTACTTTTAAAACATTTTCATATTACATATGTTGATACCTTTGTGTGGACTAGAACCTCATCAGTTTTTGATGGGGAATTAGTTGAGCTGTTACTCTGAAAATACTCTTTCTCACTCACATATTTGTCTCCAATGTCTCTTCAGTAGCTTTAATTTAGGTAGTATATTCAAGAATTTCAATTCTTGTCGAAGAGAATCGCGTAGTTCTACAGCTATTCTGGTTCTTTGTTTTGTATGGTATAAACATTTGAAACAAAATATTTTAGATTTTTGCCTTGTACCACATGCCGAGAAACATTCTCTCGTGCCTTGTATCGTAATGAATTACCGTCATGGAAGCTTTTCACTTTGTCCCGATGTTATCAATACCTCAGTAGGAATTTGTTGCTCAGCACAAAGTTACACAATGGGCTATCTCTGCCCTCCACGGGTATTTAATTTAAATTTTTATAGCGTTTTTAGCCCTCAGATGTGCCACTGAGCCAATGGGGTTCCGTAGGAGGAGGAACTAAAGTCTCGAATTTATGTTAATAGATTATTATATAATATACGTCAGTTAAAGATCACCAAAAGTTATATATCTGATGTTATGACGATAAATAGAGTAAAATAATGAATTATAGAAAACTAGTAACTAATTCTCAAATTAATATGCAAGAATTTGATTCAGTTAACAGATAAATTGTATCAAATCATAACACTATATTTAATATTTGATAGAAAACCTTTAATTACTGATTCTCTTTCTGACACAACCCTTTCTAGGTTTCATTTTGAGTAATGTTTTACATGTTCGTGTATAGATGAACGGACTGCAATAGATCTTGTATGAATTTCTCTTTTTGAAATACACGTGATTACATCGGATGTTCGTTTTTAGGAACTTCACTCCAAAAACAACCACATCTTTCCGGATATAAAATGGTGTGTGTCAGAAATGGTGTTGAATCCGGTTCAATTTTTGTAAAACGCCAGGGGATTTATTTTACGATAATTGAATAATGATGAAAAGAAGAATGCCAATCGGATTTTGAGTTCAACTTTTGGTCCCGTAGTCACTTTCCATTTATAGGTTTTATCACTTAAAATTTAAAGTTGAATTTAACTCTACTCACTGAATTTTAACATCAACCTCCACACAATTTTATTGCAGTTTGTCTTAAAATATCTCCAAGTGATATCTAACATTATTCTTTGTTATAATACTAGTATGAGGCATTATAAGAAAGCTCAGTTTAACATTCCTCGAATATTGGGTTTATTCTGTGAATATTTTTAATGTCTTGTGGCAAACCTATCAATAAGTAAATCCATCATGAGCTTTGTTTTAACTAGCATAAAATACATATGCTTCGCTTGAGTGTTCAAAAACCCTTCACGATGCACAGTGGCCCCAGTGTACCAATACAGCACCTTCTTTAGTCCAATTACTTCTATAGATACTCCAAGAGTGGGGGGGGGGGTCTGTACTAGAAACCCTTAGGACACCCGAACACAGCACATAATCACACATGCAAATTTGGGTCAGCTATATTGTGAGTGGGGATAATAATGCTGTTTTAAAATGGAGTCAGAGATCTCGAAGGAGGTAAAAACACGAAATACGACGTCAGATTCGAGTTCAGCCCCTTGTAGTCATTCTCTTAAAGCATCATCATCAAATTAGCACATACACATAATATAGGGTTAATTCATAGGTGGACTTAAACTTTGGAAATTTTGCTGAACGTCTTTTCGCTTATAGCAATGAATAACAACCTTAATTCCCTCTGTAAATGCTCACTTTGGAAATTTTGCTGAACGTCTTTTTTCTTATAGCATTGAATAACAACCTTAATTCCCTCTGTAAATGCTCAGTTATTTCCTCATGGAAAAGTGACATACACATTGGTAACACTGCATAAAATACCCGCTCTTTGCTGTGAATTTACATAGAAAATAATCGTACTTCGCTGCCAAGGTCAAAAGTATCCTCGTTATTTACAGAGCTCCAAGTATAACAACAAAGATCTTCCATTATCCCCAATTACTTTTATAGCTACACAAAGAAAAATGCCGTTAGGCCACACGCCCGTGGTATCTGCTAAATGTTCCACGTTTAGCCTCTTATGAATGGAAGTATGAATACAGTTTCAAACCTAGAGCCCCTGGATCTCGAAGTGGGCAAGGAATACAAAATCCTATGCCAGATTCGGAATCAGTGACTCTGAAAATCCACTCATAGAACCATATCATGCCAGGATGACCTTCCTGGCGCGTTTAGCTCTCGTGATACTCCCTTTGTAGAAAGACTACGTCACATACATAAAGACACCTCCAGGCCACCCCGAGTCCGCCTGCCAAGTTTGGTCCTGCTATTTTCAAAAGTATGAGTTCGCAGTCAAACAAACAAATTTACAAAGAATTTACACACAGCGTATATTATTATAGGATTTTTGCAACACGCAGCTGAAAGTCAAATAACATACAGCTGCAGCATTTATCAAGCGCCTCGAAATACTGTTAAAAACTCATGCATTTCTTTACCTTTTGGTCTGGGTCATAAATACAGATGTGTATTGTGGTTATTAGTCTCTTTGCTTATACTTACAGTTGCGGTAAACGATAACAACGAGTCTTCGTAATTTGACAGTTTATGAAACGGTTACTGAAACCACCGTGTAAGATATGTTACAAGGTTAAATATTCCTAAAAATTTTAAAGAATAATCTAATACCTTCAATACTCGCAAATCTACCAGAAACCTAAATCTTTTTTATGAACTGTCTTTTTACTTCAATTACAGTGTAATAGTTACCGACAATATATATCTTTTAAATGCGGTTTATTTTGCAGAAACATATTGTGATTAGCTATAGTATCGTTTCGTTGTATGTCATTTTATTTTCGCGTTCAGAACAATTTCATTAATATTGTCGACATGTTTCACTAACGAGTGTTATTGAATATTACTGGTTCCTGAAACCTATTATATAATTGGCAATTCTATTTTTTGCCATTCGTGACCGAATGGTTAGCGTGTTGGGCTGTCCTTCGAAGCAGTTCGAATACAAGATGTAATGTCGTAAACATGTCCTGCACTTTTAGCAGTGGGCGTGTTATTTAAAGTGCCAATCAATATCTTTATATGACTCAAAGAGTCGGCTGCTTTCTCTCTTGTCAATAGTCCAAAATTAGAGATGATTATCTATGAATCCTAGGAAAATATCTGACTTGGTCGCTTAGCTACGAGCGCATAAGTTGCCATACAGTTGAAAATTCCAACTTATAATTTTCTTGCTGTTGCATTTGACCATAGAAGAAATGTCTGTAATCTGAAAAATTATATGAATTTGTTATGTGTCTTTGAAGATATTCTGAATAATATACATCGTTAATGTTTGTTTATTTTGTTGAGTTTCACGCAAAGCTACTCGAGGGTTATGTGCGTCAGTCGTCTGTTATTTAAAAGTGATATACTAGAGGAAAGGCAATTAGTCAACACCAACCACCACCAACTCTTAGGCTACTCTAATCGAATTGTCTGATTGATCATCACATTATAACGCCCCCACGGCTGAAGAAACGAGCATGTATGGTGATTGGAAACTAGCCCGCTACCCGATATCATTACTAAATGTATGGCTAAGCATTACTTGTCTTCCTGTAAACTAACCATGTAGATATGATTGTGTTTCTAAGTTTTAAAGTCCAAAGCCTTAATCTTTTGTGGTCTAGTGGTTAGCATGCCCGAACTATGAATGCAAAGGCTTGTGGTTCGTGTCCTGTTGTCGCATAAACGCCAAATTAGGACTGTCGGTGCGCTATAAAAATGACAGTGAGATCCCACTATTCAGTCGGACAAGACAAGAGTTATCGATGGGTGCTGTTAACAGCTACTTCCCATCTAGTCTTATCAGTTCAAAATTAGGGACGAATATACGACAGATAGTCTTTCGTAGCTTTGCGCGAGAACTCTAAAACAAAAATTAAATAAATTAAACGGCGTGGCATGGCTTGGCGGATATGGCGCTCGATTTCTAATCGGGTCGCGGATTCAAATCCCACCACTGAACACGCTCGTCCTTTCAGCTGTAGGAGAGTTATAATGTGACGATCAATCAAATTATTCGATTAGAATAACCCGAGAGTTGGCGGTGGTTGGTATTGACTACCTGCCTTCCCTCTATTTCATCATATATAAATTAGGGACGTCTAGCGCAAATAACCCTTGAGTAACTTTATATTAATTCAACGAAAACAAACAAACATATCAATTGCTTTGTACACAACTTGTAGAAATAAATTTTTTTGTCAGATATCTTTATAAGAATACATTGTTACCAAACTCAATGCCATGTTCTAATTTTTACTTATTCTTGTTTTTAGGACCAAAGCTTTAAGGACACCATCCCATATCCTTGTCGTTAATCTCGCCATCAGTGATTTCCTGATGATGACAGAAATACCACTATTTATATACAACAGTTTTTGCCAAAAAGCTGCATTTGGAGTTTGGGGTAGATTATCAAAATTCTTTCAGCACACTTTTTATTCTTTGAAAATACTTATAAGAACAGTCATACAGTGTTGAAATTTATATTTACTATTGAACTGTTATATTAAAACGACTTTGAATATGCAAATCAGCAAGCCACGTTGCACCCAAAGTTAATATAAAATCGCGTTGGTTGTTTTTGAAAATCGCGCAAGGTTACTCGAGAGAAATCTGTTCTAGCCGCCCATAACTTTGAAATGATAGACTAAAATGAAGGCAGCTAGTTAGCACCACCCAACGCCCACTTTTGGAGTTTTCCTTACCAATGCATAGTGGGATCGAACGCCACATTTAACAGCCCCATGGCTCAAACAACGAGTATATTAAGAAAGGGTTCGATTCCGCGACCCACAGATTGCGAGTCGAGCGCCTACCACCAAACTATAAGTCACAGTGGAATGACATATTCCAGAACTAGCGTTTGACATTGCTTGGTGTACGTAGATCGTTTAATGCCACCGAAACTTGAACGCTTCTGAAAAGTTAAAAGGGTATCTAGCTGCCCTTTCCGACGCAAAATATTCATATACACAGGTCACAAAGGTCATATCAGGAATTTATAATTTCCAAGATGAGAATATCCATCGTACATAATGGCATTGGAAAACAAAGGAATATGGAGAATCTTAGGAAAGCAGAACAATCCAGAAAGTGGCCTGCTGTTAGTCGTTCTCAAGTTTTGGTAAGCAAAATGCGGCGTCTGGTAACAGGAAAAAACCACGATTACAAAATTCAGTGCCAAAAACAGTTCACATGTTCCAAGCAATAATACCTAACATAATCAACATAACACAAGGCACGTGTTCATAAATTGCTTCTATGGTATATCCGTTCAAGAAACTGGAGAAACTAACCGTTATTCATGCTATTTATTCTACAGGGACATACCGGAGAAGTCGCCAGACGCACTGCCTATGGATTACTGTGACATTGTTGAAACGAGCACTGGAAAACTGTCGTCTTCTTGTACTAAGTGGATTATGGAAAGCAGAGCAGTGGTGTATTTCTGACATGACAGCCTTCTGATTTTAGTCTGCTTTATCGGCCGTTACCTAGACTGTTTAGCATAGCCAGGAATGATTTTGAAATACGAAAATAAGTTCAATCAAGCTCAAATTAAACCTCTTACAAGTGGCTTGTTAGGAGTAGATTAGGTTAGCTTGTTTGTGGCATAGACTATAGTGACATGATGAGGCCTTTTTATCATTTTATTATAACGTACTCAACCTTTCTTTATCTTAGAGTCGTCAATAATGTAAGCCTTGTTTTTAGACATTCTTTTATATCACAGAATAACACGAGCTTTTTTCAGATATTCTTTAGATTTTATAGAAACACCAACTATTACAAACTTCCTTTCACATATTTTTGAACCCGAAATTTAGTTTTATAACCATAATGTATTTTTGCACAGTTGGATATGAAGAATATTTTTTGTAAAGAATAAGAAAAAATATCACCAAAAGTTTAGCATTTGTTTGGTCTTAAAATGATAAAGATTTTTCTAAATCTTCATATTTATTGATCTTTCTCTCTACATTATGTTTGATTATTTACAGACGAATAAAATGCGAAAACTTCGAATTTGGTGTTAAACAACGTAATTGGACCATTACATATATATATATATATGTACAACAGCACATGTGGAGAGGTAAAATATTAAAAACGAACATACAACTTTAAATTGTTCCACAATAAAATTCGCTTTATCAAAAACAGGGTACAGCCCTAAAAAGACTATATGTTTCGGCAGCCCGCTAAGCCACCGTCATGAGGAATAATAGTTAAAATCAGGTACATAAACCTTTATTACACCCTCAGCACCATCTCGACCTTAGACACAATTCCTCTAACCTTCCGTGAAGAGCCCACAAAACAGAGTTTCAGTATTTCATTTCTCTCGCACCTGGACCAAAATTATTATTCAAAATAATATTTTTATTGTCCTCAATTTCAACCAGTTTTCTAATATTTATTTCTCACTTATACTCAGACTGCTTCACCAATTTTGTCCCCCAGTGGTACGGTTTAATTACAAAAAAAAATTACCTCATTTTTTTATTTCTTAATTCTGAAAATCGGGTTTCTACACGCTTGGCCAATATAAAGTAGATCACAGATACAGGAAATTTTGTATATACCATATTTATTACCTTGTTCTTTTACATCTGTGAGGCAGTTATTTAACTTATAACGCGGAGAGAAAGTTACACTACAATCTATGTCTATATACATATATATATATATTTAATACGTTACCTATTATTGTTGACATACCTTGAATATATGCCAAGCAAACCCCCATGTCATCAACTTGACCATTTTCTTGTAACCTCGTACATAGTAACATTTTTAAGTTATTAATATGCATATTATACAACCTATCAATAATCCCGGGATCATAACCTCTGTCCCTAGCTACGTTGATTAAGAAAATTAACTCCGATCTTAATTCACAATCTTAAGCATTAAATTTCAGTGCTCTAAATACAAACGTGGAAAAAATGGATAATTTTTGTAACACGATATGTTGTGTGGAGGAGCAACAACTGGGAATGGTTTTCTATAAACCATAGTCTCCTTCGTATGTTTTTAGGACTGTACCTTCTTTATGTAAAATTGTCTGTTTGTTTGTTTGTTTTGAATTTCGCGCAAAGCTACACGAGGACTATCTGCGCTAGCCGTCCCTAATTTAGCAGTGTAAGACTAGAGGGAAGGCAGCTAGTCATCACCACCCACCGCCAACTCTTGGGCTACTCTTTTACCAACGAATAGTGGGATTGACCGTCACATTATAACGCCCCCACGGCTGAAAGGGCGAGCATGTTTGGTGGGATGGGGATGCGAACCCCTTTATGTAAAAGCGAATTTTATTGTACAACAGTTGAACGTTGTTTTTAATATTTGGATGTTTTAGCTTTGATGAAAAGAATCTGCTACTTTTTGTTTGTACGTGGATTTTATGGATTAAAAAATCATGAATGCTATTTTTATCAATTTGGAGTAGTTTTTGCCCTCTATACCTGCTACTAGGAAAACATTTATTGCCAATTTTGGAAGACTATTACACATATATTTGGAGCTTTTATTATTTTCTGTTGGCTAATATTCTATTTATTCTTTTTTTCCCTTAGGCTGTCAGCTGTATGGGTTTATTGGTGCTTTAACAGGAACAACAGCCATTATGACTATTGCCGCAATGGCTGGAGAACGCTATTATTCGATCTCTCGTCCTCTAGACCCCAGTAGGAGGATGACTCGAGCTCGAGCAACAGTCATTGTTGTTTGCATATGGATATATTCATTCACATTCAGTGTCATGCCTCTATTCCGCATTAACCAATATGTTCCCGAGGGCTATTTAAGCAGTTGCAGCTTTGATTATTTAACAAGTGATTTAAAAAGCCGGGTCTATGTTTTAGTGTTTTTCATCGCGGCCTGGTGCGTCCCAATGGTAATAATCTGTTTGAGCTACTTTGGTATAATTTTCATTGTACGAAAAAAACAATTTATTTATCAAAATCAGGAACAGGGAATTAATTTGGAACGTTTCAATATCCAGAAACATAGAAAAAATGAAATTAAATTATCAAAAATAGTGTTTGCTTTAATTTCCTTTTGGATGATATCATGGACACCTTACGCTATGGTTGCACTGTTGGGTATTTCTTTTAACCAAAAATTACTCACACCTACTATTTCTATGGTACCAGCATTGTTCTGTAAAACAGCTTCAGTTATAGACCCATTTTTATATGGTCTGAGTCACCCTCGCTTTAAGGCTGCCTTAAAGAAAAAGGTTTCTTGTCTACATATTACGAACAAGAACACAAAACGAAAGCGTTCATTCAATATTCACAGCTTTCAACACGCATCATTGGAGAGTAGAGAATCACTCGATCGCCAACTACCACCTATAAACAGGTATCGTGGGGACAGTTCTGAAACCAGTTTCCAAAACATATCACTAACTATAATTCACCCACAAAAAGGTCGTCCAAAGCGAAAATATTCTAATTCTTTCTCATAGTAAGACACTGAATTTTGACAAAAATCAATCGATATACGTCATTTTTGCAAATTATTCAAAATGGCGTTTGGTTGAAGAAAAATAAAATTTTTAGGTGTTATTTCAAATTTCCTTTCCTTAATTTTCTCAATAAAGAGAGGAGAATTCCGAGACAAATATTAAATCACATTTAAAAAAAAAAAATTCATTGAATAACTCTTATTATAGGGCAGGATCAAGAACAGAAGAAGTTTATCAATCTCGTTCCGATGTCACGTACACAGACAGCAAAATTATCAATCAGAAAAGTAATGGTCTTTGATTAGAAAGTGATAATAATCAAAATAAAGCCAACCCTCAACTCGTAACTGACATTGAAAAGGCATTGCATGAAAAATGGATATTAATTTGTTCCATTAAAAAAAGATTTATACAATATGAAAATGGAACAAACTAACTCTAGAATTTAGATATTCGTTGTAAATTAACAATTAATTAAAATTTAAACTTTCATTAATAAATTGCAATTTTATTGTTTTTATGAGCGATGCCAACACCAATAAACCACTTGATCAATTTGTTTGTTTGTTTGTAATTATGCACAAAGCTACACAATAGGCTATCCGTGCTCTGCCCACCACGAGTATCGAAACCCGGTTTCTAGCGTTGTAAGTCCGCAGACATACCGCTGTACCACTGGGCGCACTTGATCAGTTAAGGTACCACAAATTACAGTTTGTATGCACATACATGAGTGAGAATATTTGCCTGTTAAACTGCTTTGTAACAATGTATTACTTTTAACGTGTACCCTCAGATATATTATGGCTTTTTCCATGTTGCAAAATTTAGATATTAAACATGAGTTTTCATATAAACAAATTCGCATAATGTTCCTATCTTTACATCGTACGTAAATTGTACGGGAGATTTATTTTACATACATATAATATTATCCATATATTCAAAAAAATGTTACAAAATCAACCAGCCTTGAATTGATTTATGTCGTTCCCATCGATTCACATAGAAATACAGCCTATAAAATGTTGTAAAAATAGTTTAATAGAACCTGTGATGTAATATTATATTATGTCCCACAATACAATTTTGAAATTGAACTGTGTAATATTTATACACACATACAAATCCTTTGACGCAGATTCATTTTACAGTACTAGTACAAGTGGTCATTTGAAGATAAAGTTTTGGCCAAAATGTTTGCATACTGTTATATATTTAGGTTATTGCTTACATGCATGGAGTAGCTATTATTACTTATTACAATTTCAAATAGCCTAAAACTGAGTTAAATTGTACTTTAGATTTAGCAGTTAAATAAATGCCTATATATATCCAGTTTATGATATTTGCCAACAAGATTGATACACACAGTCTTTTTTAATACAAATATATTTTAATATGCAAACAATAATACAATTTACAACAATGGTTATTTGAAATAGTTATTACAAACAATGATTTATATACAAAAGTTTTACAAACTTTCTAGTCTAGAACTTCCCTAATATCTTATCGAGGGTTCACGATGACTGAGCTAATTTCGAGTTGACGTAGATATAATTCATTTAATAGGGAGCTAGCTATCTCTGTGATCTTTACTGATCACACGCCGATCTTTTCCACCGATAACGTCTGATCAGTTATATCTAAGTCCGTCAATTATTGAATGACCTAAAACAATAAAAAGTAGTTAAATTAGGAAGAACACAATATCTTATTATTTATTCTTCCTTGTGCTTCGTAGTTGTTGTTTTTGTTTTTTACTTCTTTCAATTTGGTTATAACGTTTTTGGGTTATTTCAATTTGGTCGCTTTAACTTCAACAAGTACCATATTGGGACTACATTCGCAACATTTAACATTTTCAACAAGTACCATATTGTGACTAAACTCGGGAGTTTATTGCACCCATGTTATCAGTTTTTGGACATCATAATATCTCGCAAACGATGTAAAACACTAAAATTACATTTCAACGATAATTTAGTGTTGGAGTTTTCGAACAAAACTGTTTTTGTGTTCATTGATTCACCTCTAGTAAAAAAAATATTCCTTTAAAAACGCGTTTATGTCAAATTTGTACTGATATTTCATTGCCTTTTTCATTACCTATTTTTAGAGCTAAATCAAACAATATATATAACTGGAGAATCTCCAAATGTCATGTTTACTTTAGACTCATTTGCAAATGCAGGGTTGGAAGGTGAGAAATTTGCGTGAAGATGTTAAATGTTGTGGATGTAGTCATTGCGATGTTAAAATATCTGTGGGTCTGAAAATATTCGCCATCTGTGGACCGGTCATAAAATTTTTACAGTGTAAATTGCAATAAATAGACTGTTTTATAACATATTCCTACAAGGTATTTAACCCAATATAAACTACATATATGAAATTCCTGGCGAGTGTCCTTTCACAGATACTCACATGCACCACAATCTAGTGCTTGTTTTAGTAACCACTTTTAACAAAACACATCCAAAAATATTTTGTATGCTTTCTAGACGTGATCTAAATACTTCTGGTGTTATGTGGTTGTATTTAATTAGTATACTGTTTTCCTCTCCTTCCGTTATACTTAACCTCCAGTGACTCAGCAGTAAGTCTGCACGTTTACGACACTAAAATCGGGTTTCAATACCCGTGGTTGGAAGAGCACATATAATCCGCTCTGTAGATTTGCACTTAACAACAAGCAAATCGTTGTACCTAAATAAACATTCAAAGTATTTCATTTATTGAATTCTTCAGTTAATACGCAGGTTTATTTATTCCTTTTTCGCAAGAGTTCCTATAGAACACTGACAGAGTATCAGTAAACCAAGGTACTTTATCTGCTTCATTCAAATATTTCTCGCAAACTTACCAACACCAAAGGCTGTTCTATGTATAACCGTTCCTAATTTTGAACCGACAGGCGATAAAGAAGGCAGTCGACAGCATCCACCGCCAACTCCTGGACTTCTCTTATCTGATCGAATAACAGGATTTGACCGACTCTCTTATTATCGCACCCACGGCCATAAAACGTAGAGCGCATTTTTTGTGGCATTGAAACGCGTACCAGAATCATCGGATTCACATTTATTGCATAATAACCAGTAGACCACGCCATACTCGTCGCAGAAAAATATTTTATGACATTACTTATAATTTTCTCGAATTTGTCCAATGTAAACTTTTTAGAAGTTTACGGGGATTTAGTAAAGAGATATGAGAATACCGTTATTTATATTCAGATTGATTTTTTCAATTCGTCTCGTACCAGGTGGCGTAGCCGTAAATCTGAGGAGCTATAGAACTAAAATGGAATTTTGATAACCTTGGTGGGTGTAATAGCATAGACAGCACATTATGTAGCTTTGCGCTTAACACCAAACAAGCAAATAATATTTCTAGTTCGTTGAAATTATTGGTATAATTGCATGATGATGATGTATAATCTAAACTTTGTTAGTTTGTTTTTTGAATTTCGCGCAAAGCTACACGAGGGCTATCTGCGCCAGTCGTTTCTAATTTAGCAGTGTAAGACTAGAGGGAAGACAGCTAGTCATCACCACCCACCGCCAACTCTTGGGCTACTCTTTTACCAACGAATAGTGGGATTGACCGTCACATTATAACACCCCCACAGCTGAAAGGACGAGCATGTTTGGTGGGATGGGGATGCGAACCCCTTTATGTAAAAGCGAATTTTATTGTACAACAGTTGAACGTTGTTTTTAATATTTGGATGTTTTAGCTTTGATGAAAAGAACCTGCTACTTTTTGTTTGTACGTGGATTTTATTGATTAAAAAATCATGAATGCTATTTTTATCAATTTGGAGTAGTCTTTGCCCTCTATACCTGCTACTAGGAAAACATTTATTGCCAATTTTGGAAGACTATTACACATATAATAGTGGGATTGACCGTCACATTATAACGCCCCCACAGCTGAAAGGGCGAGCATGTTTGGTGTGACGGGGATTCGAACCCGAGACCCTAAGATTGCGAGTAGAGTGCCGTAACCACCTGGCCATGCCGGGCCTCTAAACTTTGGTTATTTTGTTTTGATTAGGTTTGTCAATAACTGATTGACGCCACAAGAAAATACTTTACTGTACTTTTTGATTACTTTATGAATGCAAGCTTAACAAATTATACGAGTTACATATATCTAGATTTAGTAGTTTTGCATATAAGCAATTTTAAGAATAAAAACTTTTACATGATGCTTTTTATCTCAAGCTAATTCAAGTTCATGATTGTGTTTTATCTATCAACTTCGAATAAATGAAGCTCCTCATTTAAAATGATTGTATCTTAAAAACCCACCACCCTTCACCATTAACTTTATTCAAATAAAGTATGATATAGTAGAAATTGTAATAAATCGCATGTGGAAATTATACTTTATTCTGGGCTAGCCGACGTACCCGTTCAATGCACATTGAAAACATAGGGGTTGGAGGGTGAAATAAAAGGAATCAACTCCGAATTTTAACCCCCGATGTCATTATCTGGGGATTCTTAAAGATAATGCCAGGTATGGTGACAATCGACCATGCGGTCCGCCAGTTACAATCGGACACTTACACACAAAGTTTTGACAAATAGTGGTTTACTTCGATAAACGCCAAGTTTTGGACCTTTGAGTATGGTGTATTTGTGGAAACAATATCTGTGAGCCAATTTGAATATGGTCTAAACTGAATCTGTTATTGTAATAATCATTTTACATAAATATAATCGTTTTCAGCTTTTAGTAACAAACTCAAAGAGAAGTTGGGAATTTAGCTTTTTCTTCAGAGCATATAGTTAATAGATGAAATATAGAAATTTGGAATAACTTAAAGCAAATACACTGTGAACTTTATCAGACAACACAATCTTTTGAAACCGACCAACAGAATCTACCACCAATCAGTTGATTCGAGGCACAAGAAAACTTAAGATAAAGAGGATAAAAGGAGACATTTGCCAGTGCAATAATTTATGAAGCTTCTAAATGTA